TGAGTGGATTTATTGAGTGGGCGCTTGTGCTTGATGAGTGGATTTATTGAGTGGGCGCTTGTGCTTGATGAGTGGATTTATTGAGTGGGCGCTTGTGCTTGATGAGTGGATTTATTGAGTGGGCGCTTGTGCTTGATGAGTGGATTTATTGAGTGGGCGCTTGTGCTTGATGAGTGGATTTATTGAGTGGGCGCTTGTGCTTGATGAGTGGATTTATTGAGTGGGCGCTTGTGCTTGATGAGTGGATTTATTGAGTGGGCTCAGTGAGTGTGCGCTCTGAAGGTGTGCTGGCGAGTGCATTTATTGAGTGGGCTCAGTGAGTGGGCGCTCTGAAGGTGTGCTTGGCGAGTGCATTTATTGAGTGGGCTCAGTGAGTGGGCGCTCTGAAGGTGTGCTTGGTGAGAGAATTTATTGAGTGGGCTCAGTGAGTGTGTATGATGCGCAGGCTACTTGATTGGGTTTACGTAGACTTAAGAGCCTGGAGTGAGTGAACGTAAGTACTTACGCTCTATTTTCTTATCTATTATTGGTGAATTTTGCTTGAAAGGCCGTCAATGATTGGCTGATGAACTTACGATCACTTAACTTTTTTTTGAAAGTATAGGCCCTGGGCATCGAGAATGGGCTAGTAACAGCTCATTTATTGAATTTTGAGTGCCGTGATGAAGCAATACTAACTAATTCAGTATTATTTTTTTCAAAATGTTCTAAGCGCACATTGTGGGTGCGCAAAAATGCAAATATAATGACGATAGTTTGTGTAAGAGGATTGCAGGAAGGAAGCGGGTAATGGAATGAGGTCGTGGATTTGTGCTTAGCTGAAATTATTGGAGACCGCGAATTTTAAGGGAGTGCATTTGGCATTGATTGAAAGTAAAATGATGCCCGAGCTTGATTTTTGCCAAAATATCAATTGTTATAAACAGTTCTCCAAAAATTAACCAGATCAAAAACTCAAAAAGGGCATATTTTAAAAGTAAAACCGATTATTTACAGGTTGGATCAGACGGAGCTCGAAAAAAAATTGCTTCAGGCTGAGCAGGATTTGGCAAGCTTCAGAGCACAGCTTCTGAGCGCTTCAGAGCAGCTGCAGAGCAGGTTCAAGGGTGAGTCATACATCTTTTTCATATTATATATATATAAATAAATTCATATTTATAAAAACGATTACAATACAGTAATATTTCTATAAAATCCATTAATATTTATAACACTCATTTTAAATTCATTTACAATGGATACTGCGAAACTAAATATAAATTTTTTAACTTCTGTAACTTTATTTAAAAGATTTTTATTAACTATGATTGAACTATACTGTTTTGTCATGTCTTCGTACCTTTCATTACACGACACAAATTTTCCATCACTTGGAATAACTTGAGACTTTTGGGCCAACATTTAGTACGAGTTTTTGACAGAAATTTGAATAAATAATTTCCTATGTCACACTTTGTGAAAATTGAACTTGGAGTGTCGTAGACGAAAAGAGGCTCGACTCTAATTCTAATAAATCTCTGCGACATTGCGGTTCGCCTGTATGGTAGACTCCACTATTTGAGGTTTCCTTGGATTATTTGAAACAACGGACGATGCTTTGATGGGGATTAGTTATTATTTATCAGAGCATGACATCATCTTCAACGCAGTGCAATATACGAGGCATGTCTTTTAATGGGAGCGCAGCCGTGCACCACCAATTTTGTGCACCAATAAGCCCTGAATCGAACTCCTTGGATCTCTCCGGACATCCACCAATCAGCTGTGAACCACCCGGCCATGGTTGAACTATTATAAGATTGACCCATCAGAAGCCCATTTTTGCGGATGTAGTTCGTTGATCGCCTGTGACGTCACTGATCTCAGTGACGTCACGGGTATTAACCAATCACCGAAATGCGATCAAACCAGTCAACCAATCCGTCGTGGGAATGACGGGTTTGTTTACGTTTCTCGATCTACGTGGCGTAACAAGAAGGCTGAACTGAAAGACGGAACTTCTCGTGGGTCAACCTTATATAGGTAGTTCAACCATGCACTCGGCTTTGTCCTCCTCCGGCCTTGCATAAAACCCTCCGTGCACCACCAGACCGCTGATCGAATACGACTTCCGGGCATCGTTAAAATACGTTATTTTAGCTTCACTCATCTGAGGTTAGGTTTCAGTTGGCATAGTCTGTTCCAAAATTTATCGTCGTTCGAAGAGTGGCCGTTCGACCGAGGGCTGGTTCGACGCACGGCCTAGATATGATTGTCTAGAAGTGTTGAAGGCTACGTTCCGGAAGGCAGGAATCATGATGGTCCATTAGGATACGCACACGGTGAAAGCAGGTTTGCCCGCGCGGGCAACCTGCTCCAACCTGCCATAAGAATGAACATATGACAATAATGTAAGTGCTCATTGTGAAAACCTATACGAATATTCTTCTGTATTCTATGGTTTCAGGCGCCAGCCTGAGCAGGTAACCAGCACGCTGGCAACCTGCTTTCACTGCATGTGTGCGTACCCTTACATCCAGGGCAGTCAGTGGTGGTCTTTCGGCAGGCGAACCTTTTTTAAGTAAGAACCGTTTTGCCATTCCGCCGCCGCAGCGCTACGGTCGGCGTTCCGCGCATGCGCGCTGGTTACCTACATCTCTTGTCTACGCATAAAGCACTGACGCCATTACAGTCTGATTCTTTATTCTATACGGTGTTTACAGAGTGTTGAAGATGCCTCCGACAATCGTGAGTCCCGCTGATTGTGAAGTACGGGCTGTTATAAGATTTCTTAGCGCTGTAGGCGTAAAACCGATCGATATTCATCGCGAGATCGTTTAAGTTGACGGACAAAACATTATGGTTGATGGAATGGTAAGGAAATGGGTGGGAGCATTTAAAGATGGCCGCACAAATGTGCATGATGAAGAACGGAGTGGGCGTCCTTCGGTCGTTAAGATTTGGTGCAAAACGTGGATCTGGATCGCCCTGATCTGGCTCCCAGCGCCTACCAGTTGTTCCTGCACTCCAAGTAACACCTGGGCCGTCGGCGTCTTCAAGGCGATAACGAAGTCAAAACATATGTGATGCAGTAGTTAACGAGTCAGGCGGCAGAATTTTATCAAGAGGGTATTCAAAAACTGGTGTCAGGTTATGACAAGTGCCTTAATATTCACCGAAATTCGGTAGAAAAGTAGATTAAGGTACATGCTTCCATGTAAAAAATAAAATTATTGCGATATCTTTGCACGTGTTTTTTAATTCCAAACGGTATCTACTTGAAAAACATGCCGCGTATATGACCACAATGTTGGTAATGTTATAGTTTCCGTGCAGCATGGTTATTACCGAGTATATTATCTCAGATCAACTGGCGATTGGCGACTGCGTCAGCCACTGTCGGCAGCGTGCATGCGGTGGCAGGCGCGCTGGACAAAAAATGCTTGACTTTTTACATTAAATGCTTATCACATTCGTACATGTAAACCACAGTTTTCAATAAAATATCATTTCAGATCAACTGGCTGAAGATATAGCCGAAGTCGACAGGGTGCGCGCAGCACGAGACGCGCTGAAGGAGGCGCGTGCGGAGCTAGCGCAGTATTGCTGCGAGAGGCTGCAAGACTTCCAGCTTCAGCGATGCTTCAGCGTCCTGAGCCAGCTAGTTCAACAGATCAAACTGCTCGACAAGGTAATAGCTTCGATGGAAATATAAAAGAATTTGGTTTAAAGATTGATCGTCTTCCCACACGCTTGGGAGCGAACTTACTTCGATTTCTAGGCCAAAGTTGGATTGCTCGTTACCATCGTTGACTACCGCAACTTGTCCTCCATCAGTACTAACAAATAAATATTGTACCTCATACGTTCTACTGCAGCAGAGAGATTAAAAAATTCAAAGACACAAGTCTTTAGAAAAGTCTAACTTAAAAAAAATGTAGTCTTTTCCATTGGAGCATGGCTTCTTAAAAGTTGGGACAAAGTGTGTGAACTTGAGAATGGTAGAAGTAGAGACACGATATTTCAACACGGAGTTGATTGTTTTAGATTTTGATAAAAATATTTATAATTCCCCGTTATTTATGGAGAATGGTTTTCATCAGGCTAAAGTGCCCAGAGAATTCAATCGCAAATTTAACAGAATCAAACAACTTATTTTTTCCGCCTGCCGTGTGGTCAGTCACAAACTTTATCAGCTATGGCGGATAAATTACCATCTAACAAAAACATGGCAACGAATCTAACTTATCTTTAATTTTTATGCAACCAACACATTTTGTTACAGGAAACTGAAGACCAGCAAATTCAGAGGGGAAGAAATTGTCTGGCAAAAGTAAAGGCCCAGTTGGCCCTTGCCGCCAATTCCCGTAGCCGGACAGCTCTGTCATCCACCACTACCAGGACCTGCAGCTCCATTATAGATCCCACAGATGGGAGTACCACAAGTGTCTCAGCACCGCAGCAACCCATCCTACACTCTCAAGAAGCGAGCCCTCGGGAGAAATTAATGAAAGATTTCAATGCAGGACCACAACTTCAACCAGCAATTCGAGCAAGTCTGGAAGATGGCAACCCATCGACTCGTTCGCAAACTTTTTTTTTTCATCGTCTAAGCTCTAAATTAATATGATTGTTAAAGTGGACTGTGAAGTTCATATTGAAAGTTCATTGCGACAACACTTCTTCTCGCTGCAAATTACCGCAATAATTTAACCAAACTTTGATCTCCGTTTCGCTATCCTTAGCACTTCCATTCAATGACCAGTTATTAAGATATATAGATTAAAGATGGATAAGATTAATACATGCTATGAAAATACTACTGATGCTACTTGCGAAGCTTTGTTTGAGGCTTGTTTTTCAAGTCCTGAAGAGAAATACGTACATGTAGCTCATGAATATCGAACTTATCGTCCAAATATTCAGAGCCTGACAATAACACTGAGTTTCTTCATGTAAAGAATTTCTAGCTCATTAAGGAAACCATAATTTTTTTCATTTGTTCACTTGCTATAGGGAAATACGCATCTCTGCGCAGTTGTCAGCACTGTTCATGAAGTTCCCGGATGTACGGGGTTGGTCGAGGGAGGTGGGAGGAATGAGTCCTATTAAATTACCAATTAAAGTTTAAAAATCACTGCCAACCGCCTTATTTTTTGTACAGTAATGGGTACTTGAGTACCCATAGAGCAGTGAAGGTGACTTTCAGGTGCCATAGGAGTTGGAGGTGCTTAAGCGGTCCAAATTTCTTGAGGTGAGATTTTACATGTATATACACGACACAGCAACAACGCTCTGGCAGTGGAAGCTCTGTGCGTTTAATCTTTTCCATGGATTGTAAGTTGATTTTACAAAGTATATTGGCTGAATTTGCGTTTATCATAAGTTGTATAGAATACTGATTTTTTCATGATTATGACGACGAGGTTCTTCATACAATCGACTGACGATTGTGAGCGGAGATGGTGGTGGTGGGAAAGTAGGTTAGTTATTATTGATCAATTTTCCGCCAATCATTGCGTTCCGTCGTACTTACAAATCCGTCATTATCTTTGACTACTTTGAGATTACATTATTTTGCTCTGTACATCTTTAAGCATGTTCAATTTTACTCCTGATTTCATAAAAATGCCGTGCCTGTGAGAAATTCTATTGCTTCTTTGAAGAAGTTGGGATCATTATGAGACAAACACTCCAAATCTCCAATTCTTAATTTTCATGCCTGTACTTTGTAATTTGGATGATGAAAAAATTTGTTTTAATATCATAAATAAAGTGGTTGTGGGAAAGTATGGAGAAATTACAGGAAATATTGCATCACTAATCTATTTTTGTTGCTATGAAAAATTAGATTTGCCTAGTTTCATTGTTATCCTAGTAGTAGTACACTAGTAGCTAGTAGCATAGTGGCAAACAAGTGATTTTTTAGAAACAGTTCATTATTAATTTCCTCATTTACTCAAGATTTTGACAGATTTCTTATGTATGATATTCTGGTATCCAAGATACTTTACTGGTCTACTAATAGCACTCAAAAATGAACTTGAGGAAGAGTCTAAAAAACTCTCTGATTTGCCATTATGGCTAGTAGTCATTGTGATGATCTATTTCTCTAGTATTCTCTATACTGTTACTGAATTTGCTGAAAGAGTTGCAAAGAGGCTACTGGTAAGAACCATTATACCATGCCAAATAGAAGGCATAATTGGTAAATATGTCTGGTGCACTTTATACCTAATTTATATAATATAGTGCTAATGAACTACAACAAAATATTGGAATTGGATGCATGCTGACTGCTGACCTCTGGTCATGACCTTTAAATTGGTCATACATGCTGCATAAAAGCTCTTTCACTAGTATATTAACAAAAAGTTCAATTAAAATATATTTACTGCTATCCTAAAATAAAAAAATAAAAGATTTTGTTATGCAAAATCCTAACAATACAGAAACAATGTACTAAAACTTTCAGCTTGGTCACCTTTGTCTTCCCACCCTGAGCACCCTCCCCTCTCTCAACCCTCCACTCCTCAAGACCCCACTCATATCATCCTCCTCCTCTCACTCATCCTCCACATGTTCTCCAAATATCTCTTCACACTCTTAGACATAGCCGCAGTTGCTTAATTAGACAGACCCACAATAATTGCCATCCACTCTTCATTTGCTCTCTCATACCCCACTTTGTTAATATCACCTCCCTCATTCAGAATCACCTCCATCGTAGACTGTCACACTCTCTCATGCGCCCCCACATTCCATCAACAAGTGCTCCTCAGTTTCCTTCTCATCCCCATCACATAGAAAACATTTATCTTCCCTCCTTTAATTCAACATGTATGTACATCCTTTCCCTCCATTCCTTGCTTCCACACCTTCAGCCCATAGTCTTTCACTTGCTTATTCATTTTTCTTTTCCACTCTTTTTAAGTTTTTCCTCCCACTCTATCGCAATCACACCCATACAGTCACCACCCATTCGTCTTTTGGTTCAGCGCCAAGCAGGTCCATGTTGCACCCAAACAATAGCCATATTGGCGATTGCCAATAAGATTGACAAAACCACTATAGTTTGCACTCAGATTTTTCTTTTCTGTGTCATTCAGTTGTGTAGGGCAAGCAGGATATACAATTAATGAAACAAAACAGTTTCCAATTGGTAGATGAGAAAAAAACTACATTGGATACCATTTCATTTCAAAAACATAACACAACTACAACAGAAACAAATAGCAACAAAACAAAATCATAAACGTTGGCCTAAGGCACCCCAGTTGACGGTTGTCAGTTTTTGCTGGTTACAGTTCAAGCTATATAGTTAGGATATGAAGTAATGTTTCAATGTAATGTTCAATGGTGGACAATCATTAGGCTATTTGCTCTCATGTATGGTGGTGTAAAGCCCATAATATTTATTTGCTGTTCTTTGACCTCGAGAGGTGAGATAATGTCATGGGCTGGTTACGGATAACATGCTTTAATCTGTGTGTGATGTGTGGTTTTACTTGAATATGCTCCATTCAGGATTGATTGGTGCACAAAACTGGTGGTGCATGTATTGTAATCGTGTAACAATAAATGATGGATAGACAATGGATAATAAAGTTTCATATAAAGATTTCTTCATATTTGAGAGTCCTGTTCAGCCAGCTGGTTTATCCAAACATCACTTAGATTCTTTAATTTGAGTCTCTCCTACTTTATATTTGTCTATAAACCCTCATCTACACCAGTTAAGAGATAATGGGTAATATTTTGCTGGCCGACTGTTTTCTAATTGATCTATTCACTTGAAGAAATCATTGCTTTTATGTCTTTTTACTGAAATTTTTTTTGATACTTTCTGTTTTGCTAATCCTGTCAATTCCTCTATGCTGCCTTTTGAAGCTAAATATTCAAAAACATGGGAAATTTTATTAGAACTTTTGATGTTACAATTGACGTCCATGAATTGAGGTTGCTGATTTAGATGATAATTTTTACACACTTACAAAGAGACGAGAAATGTTGGGTTTAAATTGTAAAACTAGTGTTGAGTTTTACGAGCACTAGTTTTACAAGCATTGACAACCTAATTAGGTATATCAATGAAAATGACTGATGGTTGTTGCTCATTAGGTGGTACAATCTTATACTCATTTTTGATTAAACAATTATTAACTTCTTTCATTATTTTACTTGAAACATTTCTCAATATTATGAGTACATTCTTTCCCATAAAAGCTCCATTAACTAGTTAGGTTTTTTTCAGATGGTTGAGCAACACTTTTGTTTGCGGTGGAACAATTACCGCACCAACATCACCGCGGAGTTTGAGGTGCTCAGAGAAGGCGAACATTTTGTTGACGTCACACTTGCGTGCGATGGACAGCAACTCAAGGCCCACAAAGTTGTCTTGTCTGCATGCAGCCCTTACTTCAAAGACCTCTTGCAGGTGAGCTTTCTATCTAAAGACTAGTGGCTATATTAATAAACCAGGAACAAGAATAACATGTCTCACAATTACCACGTATAAAACTCTTCTTCTAAACAATATGATCTGTATTAATTCCTGCAATTTTTGTCTCGTTTTATTTACATTGGGTAGCCTCTATCTAATGAGCCTCTATTTCTATCTAAAGACTAATGGCTATATTACTAAACCAGGAACAAGCAGAACATGTCTTGTTATTCCCAGATTATTGTTATTCTACAAGCCTCTATCATGGCATCTGGTTCAAATGAACTTTGAGGGCACGTCACACATAAGATGAGTTGTAAAAAATTAATTGAAAAATATACACATAAGATTAATTAAAAAGATCTAAAATTTGTCTTCCAAACAATTTGATCTGTATTAATTCTTGTGGTTTTTGTCGCATTTTATTTACATAGGGTAGCCTCAGCAATCTATAGATATAGGCTTTGAACATAGATTTCTACTCATTCAATTATATCCTTGTTCTGGTTAAATTTTACATGTAGTTCAAGCTTGGACTGAATTACTTAAGCTATGTGGCAATGAGGATGTAACATTGAGCTTCAATACATATTGGCAGAATGCAATGAGTGAAAGAGCTTTTTCCATTACATCCTGTTACTCTTTATGCTGCTTGCTAGACCAAAAGATAGTAAGCTCTGATGCATAAGGAAACCTTAAATTCATTCTAACACAAAGCAGGACAGTTTATTCAAAATGAATGAATATCATAACATGTAAGCTTGTTATTACTGGATTTTGCTGTTAATTGACTTATTTTATACATTAGGTTAGAGTTGATTTCATGTTATAGCTTATATCCAGTCATGCTTGGGAGTATTATGTGCATGTAGCAAACTTTTTGTGTTTACTTTGTCAATTTATTGATGAAGCAAGTAGCAAGTTACTACTTTGTCAATTTATTGATGAAGTAAGTAGCAAGTTACTACTTTGTCAATTTATTGATGAATTAAGTAGCAAGCTTCTTTCTTCTGTGCCATTTATTAAGCAATTCATTGACTGAATAACATGTTATGTACAGGGCAACCCCTGCAGCCACCCCATCATCATCCTGCGTGATGTTGGCTACGTCCACATGCGGGGCCTGCTGGAGTTCATGTACGCAGGGGAGGTGAACGTATCACAGGCACAGCTTGGGGCCTTCCTGCGCACTGCTGAGGCCCTCAAGGTCCGAGGCCTTGCAGAAGCCCCGGCCCCACCCAGCTCAGTGCAGCAGGTGGCAGCGGCTGCAGCAGCTGCAGCAGCCGTCACCAACTCTGTTGTAGACTTGCTAGCTCTCAACTCATCTATAGGAAGCCTGCCTCTGGGTTCACTCTCATCCCACATGCCGCCTTTGGTCGGCTCGTCTTTACACTCCAATGCTTTACTGGACTCCAGCAAGCGGCAGTGTAGTCCTGCGTACTCGCGATCATCTGGTAGCCTTGGACTTATAGACACCAACACCAAGTGTGAAGCAGCCAGTAATGATGAACATGAGCCGTTGCCTCTCACGGTCAACAATGACACTAAAATAAAGGAGCGATGCTCTCCTCCACAGCGCTGCAATAAGCGCTTGAAGTACAGCAGCAGCAGAGAACCGAGTCCAGATTCTCCTACTCGCTCCTATTACCCCAGTAATGGCTCCTCCGCTGCAGTCTCCTCAGACTCCCGAGCTCTGCCTACTCCTGACGACGATGCTGACGCAGGAGACGAGCAGCTCGCACATGACCTATCCTCCAACTCCAGGAAACGTCACCTCAGTGGCACTGTAGCTTCTCATGGGGCCAACGCTAACGGCGGGGACCTGGGGGTGCATACATCCAGGCCTCCTTCTCTCGCTCCTTCCTCCCCTCCCTCACATCACATGCAGTATGTCTTTAAGGTGAGACTCGGGCTAGCCTTTGAGGTGAGACTCAGGCTAGCCTTTAAGGGGAGACTCATGCTAGCCTTTAAGGTGAGACTCGTGCTAGCATTAAAGGTGAGACTCATGCTAGCCTTTATGGTTAGAGAGTAATTCCCGTATAATACTTTTTTTCTCTCCTCAGGAATTTAAATTTCTTGAAATTATCTTATCCAAGTTCACTCTGTATAATCATGATCTCTGTAGATCATGATTCATAATGGCTATTGATGAGCTATTTTCACTCTATATTCACCTGAATATTGGTACATGTAAGCGATATTGTTAGCGATTGATTAGTTATAATTAGGTATTGAATTCGTCTTTAATCTAAAATATTTGTTCGTCTAAAGCTTTCGTGTAATTGAATATCTAAGATATGATTTAACTGACGAGAATTTGGCTCATTTCTGTAGTATTGAATTATTAGGAGAATTATGGAAATATTAATTCATAATTTGAATGTTGCCGGAAGTTTTAGTATTTTGAAGACAGAGACCCGTTACAGAGACCCGGACTATATAGCTACTGTGTACTGTAGCTGTGACGCGTACTGTGATATCTGTGTAAATCGCTACTGTGATATATGTGTAGTTACACTATATATACGATACCCTATGTTAATATCTCTGGAAAATGTCTGGAGCACTTGCTGTATTTGCCTGGCATTATGTATAAGTTTACGATTGTTTTCATTTTCATTTTGAGCACAATTTAAGAATTTCCTGTCATTTCATCGTGCAAAATTATTTCAACCATGTGGATTATTCCCTGTTGACAATGTTGATAGAGTTTAATGCTGGCTTGTGTTTAAAAGCTAGGCAGATACAAAAGCCCATGGTATTGTTGTATCGAAAATATCATTATGACAAGACCGACGTAAAATATGAATAATTGCGAGGTGGGCATTAAAGATGTATAATGGCAAGCCCTGGCTGGCCCGACGACAACAACAGCGTCGGCAGCGACGGTGAACTCGACCCCCACGACCCTTCCGCTGACAACGGGGGGCCCTCGTTACTCATACCGGGCCTGAGGGTACCTGCATCGGGAGCAGGTCCTCCCTCCAGCATGGCCCTGCAACAGCCATCATCGTCTCCCCCGTCATCCATGCAGCAGCAGCAGCACGCCATGCATCGCCCTCCTCCATCACAGGAATCTCATCTGGCCGGTGAGTTATAACTTTATTATCGTATTATTAATCAAATCTTGATCTGCTCGCGTAGCATTCACGTCTTGATTGTTCAACGAGTATATTCCATAGCATGGTTCCTATGTATTTTAATTATCAGAGATCTTAAGTGATGAGGTTTAGTTGAAATAAGTGGAGATGGTGGGAGAGAGTTCTATGCTACAGCCTGGACACACGAGGCTAGAATTGAGCTGACTAGAGCGCAGTAATTTCATTTATTAAAGTGCAGCAAATGAATGATGCAGATGCTTTATATAATTTCTCGAGTCAAATTATTCGTTATAAGCTACTATCATAAAGGCGGTATTTACTGTAAAGGAACTCTATTTTTACGAAGAGGTTACAAACGCTGTAAGATTTATATACCTAATTTAATGGAATTTTCGAGGAACTAGCAGCTAGAACCTCTACTGTTACTCACTCTTGCGTTGCAGAATTGCATCCAGAACTAGGAGGAGTTATAACCAAAAAAGGTATTTACACACAAACTAACGTAGTTTCTGCTTATTTTACATCGTCGTTTATGGACAATTCCCCCAGAGTTTACTACACTCTCTGCGTCTATGCGTTGACGAATATTGAATATTGAGTCCGATATGAGCAATATCGTTATGGTCGGCTCATTTCAGCATTCGAACAATAATTCATAAATAATTTGTTAGGGACTTCTCAATGCAGCGAGTGTTGGTGCTATTGATTCGACGTTTTGTCCGAAAAACAATTGGGAAAGTCAAAGAGAAGCATTTCTAGAATTACTAGTCATTCAAGCCTTGGTTATGAAATAAATTGTCGGTTTTTCAGACTGGGATTTGAGTAATGGGCTCTTCCAAGTTGTAAAGGAGTTTGTACTTTTCTATGGATTGAGTATTTTTTTTCTGTCGAGGGGACACACTTATAAATTGAGCTGCAAATGAGTCGTATCGACCAATTACAGATTGTTCAATTGTTTTATATTAATTGTGGGAACAAACTGTCAGGGACTGATAAGTCTTATATTGAAAAATTGATAATTATACAACGCAAGTGTATGATATAAAGTAGTGTATTCATTACAAAAAGATACATTATTTTCGTTCAAAAGCTTTAATCAAAACCTGAATGAGAACAAATTTTTATTTTGAGTTCAATATGTCGACGCCCTTCGCCACCAAAGGACATATCCAAATAGCCGTATCCTGTAAACTGCATAGATCTGTTCGTCTCTCCCGATGCTTAGTACTGTCGTTCAGGCGTAGTGACAGATGAATAAATTATTATCCTAAATATCTTGTTTGGTGCTTTATTTCACGTGTGGTCTAGGTTCGACTGTATGTGAGTTACTGTGCTTGAATCTCTGGCCAGCTGCCTAAAATTCTCGAATGTATTTCTCGAAAGCAATACCAAATCGCCCTCGCTTTTGTTTGTGTTTAATCGAGGGGAACTTTGGAAACTCGGTTTGATGCTCAATCCAGGGATCGTGTTCCGCAGTGCTCAAAAACTTGGGGACTTTCTTGGTGTTCAAATAGAAATGCTCGAGGAAATTGTGAGCCAAAATATTCTAAATAATTATGTCGGCCTTAAAATAACCTTTTTGTTCTAAAGACTGCAATATTTAAGCGTCTCGACCTCAAAGCAGTGTTATTTTGTATTGTTATTCTTGATAATATCACTTTTTAATTTTTTTTCACTAAGTATTTTGCACAAGACCTTTTAAAATCTTATAGACGTGAATGCTCCGTGGATCAGAGATTATATATTAAGGTAACCCATAAGATGTTCACCCATTCGCCTGGCTCTTGCATGGGTTATTATGAGAGCTACGTTCGCATCGTGGCAAACGAATTCTGTGGCTCAACCTTACATCTTTACTCTCTAGCCTTGTGGATTCTCATCTTAAGAACTTTGATTTTATTAGTACACAAATGCTAATGTATCCGTGATGTATCGCGACTAGTGCACTTAGTGACATAAATCAACATCTGTAATTTAATCCAAAAGTTTGGAACTATTTGATGCGTTTTTTAATTAAAAGATTGACTATATTCGAACGATATTTTGTGTAAGAAATGCGAAGAAGGTTGCCACAACAAGTTCAGTTTGCCTCCATGCTCCGGCTTGATATATCTTAGCACGGGACGTCGCCCATCGTTCATCACTGGAAATACAAATTTTTTCGTCGTGTCAACGTCTCGTATGACGTTACTTTTTTGTTTTATTTAGGCAGTTGAAGCACAGAGTGAAGCAGGCACTTTACCACGTTATTTTACTGCCTGATCTTACTGCACGAGTTGTGAAATGTTGTTTTTCCGCGTGCTGTGGGTTCGTCGTTATATTGTCTCATTACCTGATCTTGGGTGAATATCCGATCTTGAAAATCGCCGTATTAATTTGTGGAGATTAAGCTCTGAATGCGAATTAGTTTGTTGCTGGACATTTTACCAACCAAGACAAACATTCGATTAATCCTTGTTACATTTTGATCTGTACATGAAATTTGAATGGGTTTGCGAAGACATTAAATTCAGCGCTATATATATGCATCAGTTGAGCAGCACGCTCTTAGTTGCTTTCAATACGGGCCATCTGTGTTTAATTTGGAGCACTTTTGATATTGCCTTACTTGCTCGGCATTTGATGTTTACTTTACGAAGTGAATTTTAATTGAAACTTAGGAGCAGTTTATAGAACTTAGCGTGCGCGGTAAACGACCTTTACTTGAATATCGACGAGTGGCCTTTAATCGCTAAATAAATCGCCGACAGTAACCCTGCTTACCAAGACTTTGCATTGACAAGAATCGCATTGACCACGGTTAATATATCGGTAAACAAAATGACCGTATTTATGTTAGCGCATGCTAAGGCTGATGGACCAAAACATCGCAGCGTTGCGTCAGCATATGGAGCGTAGTGCGTCATCGTGCTGATGGATGATCGAGGCCATTCCATGCCTGTGTGTTTTGCTTCGCCCGTTGCAAAGTAAATTGCCACCAAGTCCGTAATTACATGTGGTCTAGTGGGTTGGATATCTCACTATCGTCCCGGTGGCCTGGGTTATATTCCCGGCATGAAAGGACGATTTGAACGCGAAGCAAGTGGACGGTTCTGCCCAGAACTCATTAAACTTGATTATCTAATTATGTTGCAAAAAGATTTTCATTTCACACTACTGAGTTATTTATTTGCCAATTGAAGTTATAACTGTCTCTTTCAAGAATCTTTCCACTATGAAATGAAGCCAAAAGTACTGTTCGTTCGACGCATCCTTGGTTTAGCGAATTTCTTACATTTACTTGACACAAGGAAATGAAACAATGCCCGAATTGTGCAGGTTTTGTTTTTCATTAATGAATAAGCTTTGTGTAGGTATTCTGTTAATCGAGAGCGGAACAAATTTTCCAACCGTTTCAAGTTTTCACTCATTATGTTGGAGCGTATGCTAATCGGGTACCCTCCGGTGAATTTTTGATATTTTACACGGATATTTAAGTTATTGTGTTCATATAGAAGCGAGTTTTGGTTGCTGTCGAACGACTGCTGCAAATTTATTCCTTCTTGTCGTTTTGCGGCTACAGGTAGATTGTTTTTCATCCGGCTTATAACATTTTTTTGGCGTTATCTTGGGAAGGAATTACTGCCAATGTCTGAGTACGTTTTTAACTCTTACTAAGGCCTTTTTTCAGTATGGGACTTATTCTGAAGGATTGAGACTGGCCTGAGACCAATAAAGGTGCTTATACACCAGGCGAATAGTTGCGTCGACTAGTCGACGCAACTAAAATTTGTGATGATTGACGTCTTCGGAGGCAACATAGCTAGTGCATTGCACGCAGAGCAACTCCAGTTGTTTTGAAGCAGTCGAGTCACTGAGTCACTCTAGTGTGCCCAGTAGCGGCTGGGCCTTCATGCTGAGGACAGCTGCGTCGCTCTCTCACTTGCCCACTGTAGCGCGCACAGCTTTGGAGCTCTCGCTTGCCTACACCGTGCACACACCTTACTCGACAACTCCCTACGTCGCACTGGCGCACTGTACTGAAAACACTCTCCGTGTATTGGCTCTCAGCCTGCAAAACTGTAGTCGACTTAACTAATCGCCCCTTGTATAAGCACCTTATGCCACATGATTGGGCCTCAAAACTGGCGTGCGCGTTTCCACTCTACGCTCATATACTGGGATCGAGACTGAGTTCCATCTGGGCTACCGTTCTCCCGCGCGCGACATTTCAGTCAGTATATTGGAGCGTCAGCAACACACAACCTGCTTGGACGGAAGTCACAGAGACACTCCCGCATGCATGCGGCTCAATCATAGTCAAGATTGAACGGCGTTTGACTCGCCGTTGCGACAGTCTCATGGTCCGGACTGCCTCAGTCTGGACTGAAAAAGACAGTTTTTGAGGCGCCAGTCGTGCAGAGTCTCATAGTGGAAAAGGGCCTTTAGTCGCGCTCAAGGCTTGGCTTATTACGGAGTCCATAGGAGGCGAAGGTGACTATTGCGATGCATTTCATAACAGAAAACGCTACCTTGGATCGAAACAGCCGTCTTGAGTTGCTATCTTGGAAAGCTGTGGCAATCGGTTTTGAGCATTCCTTTCAAATTTAGCCCGGGATGTGAAAATTGTCCTCGCTTGCCCATCGAATAATTGATATTCAGCTGTTTTTCGAGCGTGTCAGAGGTTTCAATTGAATAATATTTGTAGAATAAAATGGCACCAAAATACTCAAGTTCTTCAGTACTAATTACGCTAATATGTTTCGTTTGAACATAATTAAATTGATCTGTCGGAAGTCCTAGCTTCTTTCTCGTAAAGGTTAAGAATGATGCTAATTTTGTGGAATAGATTATAGTGCTCTGATACTTTTTTATTCAAACGATGCAACGCTCTGTTGTCTCGTATGCAGCGCTCTGTTGTCCCGTACGCAACACTCTGTTGTCTCGTATGCAGCGCTCTGTTGTCTCGTATGCAGCGCTCTGTTGTCTCGTATGCAGCGCTCTGTTGTCTCGTATGCAGCGCTCTGTTGTCTCGTATGCAACGCTCTGTTGTCTCGTATGCAGCGCTCTGTTGTCTCGTATGCAGCGCTCTGTTGTCTCGTATGCAGCGCTTTGTTCTCTCGCATGAAATGCACGAAGCGATGTGGTGAAATCGTTATCGATTTTTAAGTTCGCCAGTTGACGGGCTGTTATTTAACTCAGTTTTATTTTCCTGCAACATTCATGAATATTATTATTTTTTGAAATTATTTTCAACGTACCGTGAAGTTAATTATCGACGTTCTTGCTAAGATGGTACGTGTCATCCCACTTGCACCAGCTGAGTCGCACTCATCTTCTCACACAGGACAACGCACTCGTGTCAGTGCACTTGTGTATCAACGAATTCGTGTATCAACGCATTCGTGTCTCTAAGAATTCGTGTATCAACGCATTCGTGTCTCCACGAATTCGTGTATCAACGCATTCGTCTCAACAAATTCATGTATCTACGAATTCGTGTATCAACGCATTCGTGTCTCTACGAATTCGTGTATCAATGTATTCGTGTCTCAACGAATTCGTGTATCAACGCACCCAAGTTCATTGCAAGTTCCTATTCGTGGTTTCTCCTCCATGGGTCAGTCTGATTTGTTTCAAATTCAGACACGGTTTCGTCTTGTAGGTTCATGCACTCACTTGCCTTTCTTATGCTATTTTGTTTGAAGTGTTTTTAATCTGAGTATTTCATGTATTTTTCATCCCGGAATGATTCTATCAATGCTGGTTCTACTCAGCTTTGGGTGTTATAAATATACATCACAAATAGTTTTACAGTGATCCCACCTAACAGATTTTACATTCGCCTATCAAATGTCGTAGCAAGATTTATTGTGAATGCCGCTTCTTGTTTGCAGAATATATCGTACGTGACATCAATATTACACAACGCTCGGCTTATTCTATTCCATTCTATTCTATTATTCTGCACATAGATACAAAATTATTTCGTCTTCGTCGGTAGGAGATTACCTTCCCTTTTGAGCCGACTTATAGTGCGGTGCAAGATAAGCTTGCTTCATCATTAGTCATTACTTTTCCGATAAATTCAAAAAAGGATTCTTAGGCGCCGGTTTTTTTACTTCCGAGAACATAATTCTCCGTGCAAGACTTTGAATTTTACAGATTTTTCTGAGGAAATGTTATGTTATTAAAAGAAATGTGCAAGATTGGACTGGACTGGAAAACTCGCGTCACCAAATGTTTGATATATAACTTGGAATTGTACTACTCTCTTCCTCAGTATGTTTGGGTTCAACACAGTAGTATAGCTTGTGATGCTCGCGAGTGCATGTTGTGTTTCTTTTCTGTTGAATAGCACAAACACATATCACGAATTGTTGTTGTTGTTCCAGCGCAGCTTATGTGTTCTATTCTTTTAATGAGTGTTGCACATGTAGACGTTGTAGTGCTGCTTCTGAGTGTTGGGTTACGGTATATGTGCTATGTAGAAATGCTACAGGTGTTCTCTGTAATTGTTCATCTCATGGCCTACATATTCATGCCTTACTTCATGAATGCTAGACGCTCATTGTAAGTTTTAGTGTATATTTTCATGCCTATGAAGTATTTAGTACCTAAAAAGCCCCCCCGCTAGGCATTGATAAATTACTGTTGAAATATTTTTTCTCATCACGCCATTTCATGCAACTCAGTAACACCGATCTCGCTACTGAATAATATACATACAAACTTTAATTCTGAAGATCATAACTGATTAATAAAAAAATGTTGCTTTGTTTTCTATTCGGTTTCAAGGATTACTTTGGCTTGCGTAGAAGTGTTCTACTACCTTTTTCGAAATTTCATTAGAACATAGGTCAAGAAAACTCTCCTATCGACCTTTCTTCAACCTGCCACGATAATATATATGGTTGATAGAACACAGTATATAACTCCCGTTACTTTCCTTCATACCTCTGATTTGATTTTTTAATTAAAAATTCGACAAGGAATATGAACACTTTGAAGCAAGCTTGAGTGAGCCTTGCATTGTAACAAGATCACGTCAAAGCCTTAGTTATTTGTCCCATTATGATCTCACTTAGCAGCTTCAGGCTGTCTCATCACTATGGTCACTTAATCAACTTAATAATACATAACTTAACAGTACCACTACTGAAAACCAACCAGTAACTCTTATTTGCGATATCTGATCCAGTAACTGCTACTAAACTAAAATTATTTCTTTTCAAACGGGATATGTGATTCTACTAAAAATTCACCTAATCAATGTTGCTTCCCGGAAATTATTAATTGACAAATCAATAATCATCTGAAAAGGTTTCGGTGCACAACTAATGCAGTTGAGATGAAGTGGCGCGTTGAGCTTTTGTTAGGTGTTAACAAAAAGGCCTCTTAGTTAACTACAAGATGTAGCGGCTCCTTCTCTCTATCTGTCTCTGTGCAGTAATGCCTTGGCTGGTCTTACGTGCCTTAATTGTGGCTGATGGCTTTTTTTTCTTTTGTTCCTTCTGTGCAGGAATAATGCGCAGCTTTGAACCGCTGCCCTGCCCCATCTGCAAGCGATCCTATAGCTCGCCCGGCAACCTCAAGCAACACATTGAGAACATTCACATGCCTACTTCTCAGCCTAGCTTTCAATGCCGTATTTGTAACAACAAGTTCAAGAGTAAATGGTATCTCCATAAACATCTTCATCGCGCTCATCATATCAGGGGCAGAAAGGAACCTTGATCCATACTTTATTAACTATTCTGCTGCTTATAATAATATATTTTATTGCATGCTTTCTAACCTTGAACCTAACTTGTATGACCATTGATCATCCATCCTCATTTTGTCTTTTTGTTGTTGTTGCTTATGTTGTTATTAGTTTTCTGTTATTATATTTCCTGGCTTGGGTTGTTAATGTGAATGCATCCTTGCTCGTTCAGGAACTCTATCCTGTTGAAACTTTTCTCTTTGTTTACTTCCCAAAAGGATTCTGTTCGTCAGTCTATCCTCAATCTGGCTCACTGCAAGGCGACTGTTCCCTTCAGATCAATCGAAGAAAGGCTCTTTAAAACTTGTACGTGTCAAGGAAGACGAGGTGAAGTGAAACTAAGAAATTATGCTTCATAGTATCTCAGATACAACTTTAAATATACTCGGTGATTTGATTCAGATCAATTGATGCAAGGCTCTTTAAAACTTGTACGTGTCAAGGAAGACGAGGTGAAGGGAAACTAAGAAATTATGCTTCATAGTATCTCAGATAGCACTTTAAATATACTCGGTGATTTGAATCAAGGCGTTGTAAGTCTATTGAGCAGAATTTGAGACAAAATTCTCCCTAGTGTGATCGGTTGAGCCACTTTCCTGGTAATCCTGGCCTTATCTATCAATTTCTTGTGGAGGCTCAGAATATAATGTGTAATATGTAGCAATATTCAATTGATGTTAAAGCAACAAGCACAAGTTAAAGGTCATGTTTAATCATTAATTTTACCGAAGTTGACTCACTGGAGGTTTTAATTAAGTTACTTGATGGAATCGAGGGCAATGAAGAGAAGTGATATATCATTGGCGACATAAGAAAATGACATGAGATTGTTTGATTTATGTCAGTTGTGCAATAAAAATTTGTGATCTATCTAAGGTATCGGCGCTCAGAGGTTCACTGCATACATTCAATTTAAATTCTGTCGAAATAACTAAAATACTCTTCATAAAATTCCTGTGAATACAAATTTTTTTATTTATATAAAAATGCAACAATTTTAATAGAGAAATGTTATCTTACATCTATTTATTTTACTTAAACTCGAATATAGCCTTTGTTTGTTGTTTTTGTTATCGTCGCGTCTCTCGTTTTGCTGTTAGGTAAACGTACAGCTGTCCTCGGGGCTAATACATGTCAGGCCAGTAACGAAGTATACCGGATACTTACCGAGATTACTTACGCATCGCCTTGCTTTTCGGAGCAGCTTTAAAATAAGACATTAGAAAAATGTGGCTGGTCTTAATGTGTCTGGGATTGTTGGTGCTGGAGCGACCGCAATACGTGGCAGCTGCCACGACATATTTTGCACGTGGATGCGTCAATGCTCTTACAGTCGAGTACGAACCATACTTTCAAAACTCGCTAAGTGAACGTAAGTACTTACGCTCTATTTTCTTATCTATGATTGGTGGATTTTGCTTGAAAGGCCGTCAATGATTGGCTGATGAACTTACGATCTTTTAACTTTTTTTTGAAAGTATAGGCCCTGGTACCCCTAACTCAGTCCTGCTTCTGGAAACTAACGTTGAAACCTAGGCTATTTCCTCCTGTTATTAACACGTATCTTTCACTTGTTGGCTTCCTATGGCCGTTTATATCCCCTTTAAGTGTTATCCTTCTTTTGTACGAATTTTACAATTGGTACTTTCGTTTGTTCGAATTTTACAGTTATTACCTTCGTTTATATGAATTTTACTATTGAATCCATAATTGTAAAGATTTCGTCGGTGAAAACTTCATGTTCATTTCGTTGCACATATGAAACCAACTTCTTAAGAGTCCGAATATCTTTGTCGAAAAGTGACTTATTTTGAAACATGAGCTGTTTAAGTTTGTAAGTCAGGAACCGTTTTCAATTATCATTTGGATTAACGTTGGTTGCTTGGTCAGACAAAAGACTGGTCTGTGGGGGGTAATATATAGTTTAATTCAACTTGAAGCAATACGAATCGAAAATCGCATTTCAATATCTAGAATAAAGCTAGTAGAATGATGTCTTTTCCAATTTGCTGCTTGAAAATCTAGCCAAGTTGTTGTGTCGGTTGTGTATCTTACGAGAATGCATGATATCGTTCTTTTGAAACAACTTGAGTATACTCATGTTGTTTGGCTTTTCCTTTATCAAACGGAGGAATCGGTTGTTTTTGAAGTACTGGATTATTATCTGTTCTTTACTGGCATGCCAGGGAATCGTTACTGTATTATTGAATTGATGAATTACTGGTGTGGCTGATCTCCCAATAGTTTTCATTTACAATAAGAAACTTTTTTTAAATTGTTGGTTGATTTTTGATTTGAGAATCACAGTTAATTGGCCTTGTTTCCTTCATGACGCTGCGGGTGATTGGTTGCATTGGATTCATCCATGGTCCTCCATCCACGGCTTCATCCATGGTCATCCATACTTGGTTTCATCCATGGTCATTCATCCTTGGCTTCACCCATGGTCATCCATCCTTGGCTTCATCCATGGTCATCCATCGCCGGGTACTCATGTTGTAGCCTTCATCCATATCCCAGTCATTGTTTTCCATCATACTAGCTCGTTGATGGAGTTGTTTTAAGGCCTTAAATGGTCGTTAGTCAAGTTTTTGAATTTCCACTCCCTCAAAGTCCTTTACTCATCAGCATTTAACTTCCTAAATGGTATCTGCTTGGTTTCTAACCTAACTTCTCGAACTCGCATACTCATCGACATCTCACTTTCTAACTGGTAACGTAACGTTTTGATTGTTTCTAACCTGACTCCCGTACTGATGGACGTCTAACTTCCTGAATGATAATATTTGCGTATCTCGGCTTGATGTTACAGATTTTTTCTCAGTTGTTAAGAATATTTACTAGACTCTTCCTCATCTTGTGGAAGCCGAATCTTAACCTACATATCGTAATCTTGACTAGACTCGTCTGAGCCCTAACTTGTTTGATTCGGATCTTGAGTTGGAGATATTTAATTTTTGGTCTATTTTTTGTTCTCGAAGTTATGACTTCAAATTCAGTCACTTGGAATTTCGATATATTATAGATGTTAAGTTTATTATTTGTTAGTGAGTGTGTTAGTCTGCCTGTAAATGACATATTATACATGAGTTAGACCAGCGGTTGTAGTTATGTTCATGATTATAGAGGTTATTATTTGTACCTGCTTGCGTGCCATCAAAGCAATACTCTGTTGCCATTATCTACAGTCTTGAGGTATTGTCTTGTGTTAGTCCTGATTATTAGGCAATATTCCGTGTGCCATCTTTACTTTACCAATACGTGCCCTGTGACTTCTGAACTCTGTAGCGCCATTTTTAGCGCATTTTCTCATTAATGGAAAAAAATGCACTATTCTGCTCGCCATGTCCGTCTGTCCGTCCGTCTGTCTGTTCGTCCGTGACTTCACGTTTTCGTCGACGAGAAAATGCGCTCTCTTGTCATTCACTGCAGTCAGTACCGAGTTATATTTTTTATGTTACGAGACGCGATTTTCTTTGCATGACATCAGTACACAAGCTACACATCTCTTCAGTTGGTCTTCTTGTGAATGATGTATTCTGTATATCTGCAAGGCTTAGCTCCGCCAGTCAATAGGCAAAACATCCTCTGTCTGCCGCCGTATTAAAAATACGGCCATCCTCTGTCTGCTGTCGTAAAAATAGCGCCGTATTAAAATACTATACGGAGTTAAGTGCTCTTCGAAAATACCGCCGTATTAAAATACGATACTTTTCGAACACTGAACAACACTAAATTGTACCCTTTCTTCGGAGCGATCTAAAAATCAACCGATGGAAGCAGAAATAAAATCCAATGGAAACTGATTCAGCAGACGAAGTCATTTTCTAAGATTTTTTTCAAATTTTTCTTTGATTTTTCTAAAAATCTAAGGAATTAATCAGCGGCGGCCCTAGACCATAACAAATTAATACGTTATTGTTAGTACCTTTTCGTCAATGGTTGCGTGCGTCTCATTATTCATGATCTTCAAACCATTTTTATGTCATACGTTATAAATGTTTGTCAAGGGCATCGTGTTGAACATTTAAGTTCGTATTGGCGGAATGCACTGGTATAGTAACTTGAAGTCCAAGAACAGTGACAAGAGGCACGAATTTGAATGACAGAAAGAAGCGCAGTAGGAGAATGACGAGAATCTCCGTAAGCGAGTGAGAGAAGTCACAATAATGGCGCCAAAGTTGATGCAATAATAGTGACTGGAGGTGTCTCACTGAATAACAGTGATCAAAAGCACAATAGACCTCAAGACAAGCATTTTTGATAATTTTCATCATTTGGATGTTGATAGTTTTACTCATGTTTATGTTTTTAGCTTTAATCATTCATATGTTAATGGTTTAGCCTCATTTATGTTGAATGTTTGTGTTAATGTTACGGTATTGTTCAGGAGACTAGTTATATACCTCATTTTGCCAGATATCTAATAGCTCGTTTTATTGAAGTGTCCATAGCCATCTATTTACGTGGTATGCTTATACCATGTCGGCTGCCCGGTAATATCTTTATTGCTTGTTTGGCCAGATTCTCAAAGTAATTTCATAGTTTGCCTGTCATTCAACCAGTCACAATAATATTAAATTAGAGAAGGAAATCTCTTGGGTAAAATGTTTTCGTACCTGTAAACTCGTCATTCATTATGTTGGTGAACATGACCTCAGGTTTAGAAGCTCTAAATCTGTTACTAAATTAACTATGGAAATTTGTCATTATATACGAGGAATCTAAGAAATAAGTTGTCTCGTACATAGTAGCCTGGTTACTGCACTGAATTTGCTTGTTTCAAAGTGAATTGACTCTACTCCAAGTTAACTATGTACATGGAGTCAGCCGGAACTGACGTTTTTTAGACATGTTTATCCCTGCTCGCATGGAGACCTCCATACGCAGTTTGAGTTTTGGCCTATCCCTATTTTGCGTTTCCCAAATATTGTTCTCAACCGTCAAATGTGGCGGTCCTCGAACAACTTGCTTCTTTTATTGAAATCTATTTAGTAACCTTATGAAATATTTTTAAGCTTTTCACGAATGTCAGCGTATGACCTGTTCTGATACTTCTGTTTGTAAACATAGTAGCATGGCTCCCCTTATTTATATAATCTAATTATAAGTCGTGCTACGGTTGTCTTGAAAGTTGGTTCTGTAGTTAGATTGTGCTTAATGTTGGTGTTTGATTCATCGTTGAATAATTGTCAGAGATGAAATGTTTCAAGACCAGTGCTCGGCGTCGCATTAACCGTGATTTGATCAATCACGTCTGAAAAGATCATTATCTTGATCACTAACATATTCGTAATTCGTTGAACGTTATCGTTGATATTCTCCTCACAAATTGTCGTTATTCATTGTTATTCATGTTACTAATTTAGGATTGTAGTGTTTCCGGCTCATTTGAAATTTATTATGTTAACACAGAAGTGCAATTCTAATGATAACGTACGTGGATGTGCAATATAGGTTCATTGATAGTCAATAGTCTTCTAGGCACCAAAGCAAGGATTGTTCACTTTGATGGTTGATGGCATTGATATAATCCTGGGTTTCTAATGTGTGGCAGCAATAATGTCCTAAAGAATATGTTATGTCCAGTTATATGTTTAGCGCACTTCCGACGAGTTGACTTATATGTGGTCACAAGTTAAGGTTAGTTGCGCAATATCTACTGTATAAGATGTTAGCACAGCAGTTAGAGATCCGAGCTATATAAAGAATCACAGTCGTTCTTTCTGTGGCCACCAATATTACGGGCATGATTTGGTTTGTTCAGGAGAGATATGGCTGTTGTCATGCGCAGGTAACATCCCTATTCATAAGAACCTATGAATAACATCCCTATTCACC